ACATCTTTGTTCCGTGCGAGGTATTCTATTTCTCATATCGTGGACCTCTTATGATCCTCGGACCTCTTACGAGTTCGGTCCTCTTATGTTGAATCTTATGATACTTACATAGGAAGCGTACCCTATGATAGGTACGTAGGAATGGTATGTTCCCTCATTCCTTTCTTCAAAGCTTCGTATCGTACATATCCTTCTAATACGTACGTATCCTTCTAGTATATACGTATCCGTTGCATTATCCCACACAGGAATACTTCTTTCAGTATTACTACTAAACTGTAGCAATCATATCTTCGATATTTTCAACAGGGGGTTCTTCCTCCTGTGTTGTTGGGTGTTCAACAGTTCCTTTGCAAGGGACAAGCTTCCTGATGTTGACTGTCTCACGTACGTTGTCACTTCTTTGCAACACCACAGTTCCATTAGTGTTGATCTCCACGATGGGATAAGGACCATGTAATCTTTGGGACAGCTTATCTGGTTCATAGTGTTTCATGTAAGCTTGTTGCCCGACCTGATACTTGAAGGGTATTCTCCGGGCATTCTCTCTCCTAAGATTCTCATCAATTTGGTGTTGTCTTTTGTCYCTGATAAGATTCAAATCAGCAATGAGTGGAATGTCCATCACCATATCTCTGTTGTAAACCAAAGCTCCTGGTGAGGTCCTCATTGCTGCATTCACAGCACATCTGGTAGCATGCATTGCAGAGGCAAGGGCATTGTCGATTATCTGATCTTCATCAAACTCTTCCTYGGGCGGTCTTGAATGAAGAGTAGCCCTCAACACATTGGCAATTGTCTGATGCACTCTTTCACACACTGCATTTGCTTATGGATTCTTGACTGTTGTCTGGACACTCTTAATTCCGTATTGATTCAGTAATTGTTTAAATGGGGTTCCGATGAATTCTGAGCCATTATCATGGACGCACCTGTTGGGTCTTGGATATCTTGATAACCAACAGTTAGAAAACTGCTCAGCCACGTGCTCACTTGATTTGTTGTTGATTCTGATGATCTCTAGTAGGTTTGTGACTGGGTCAATACAGGTAAGTGCGTTGATCACTAATTCAGTTTCATCTGGRAGAARGATYTTCCAMRGACCAATTAAATGGACACAAACTTCATTCCAGGGAGCAAGCTGAGCCTCCCGCGCTGGTAATAGGCCATGACCCTGTCCCTGTTGTTTGAATCTGTGACACTCATCHGGACACYKATAYTGYTTGCATYKYARGCTGAGTCGTGGAGCGTAGAACCTAGCACTGATAGTTTCATARAGCCTTGWGCYTCCACAGTGDCCYAATAAGAGGTGGTACCATCTGAGGGTCTTGTCTACCAAGCCATCGGGCAAGTAAATCTTCCAGTTGTCATTAGATGTCACTGTGAGCAGCTCAAAGGTGCCTATCCTCCTTTTGATGTAGTGCTCTGGGTCAGTTTCAAGCAGATATTGGCACTGGGGATCCGTGAGTTGGTATGTGTAGAGGCTTGCATTTGTGATTGGATTCTCCATTTCTGACACCGGTGGTAGATTGAGCAAGCATTCATGTAATTCTGGCTCCAAGTAAAATACATCCTCTGGATCCTCTTGAGCAACCAACTCTTTAAAATTCACAACTGTTCCTTTAYTCTYTTCATATATTTTCTGCTCTTTGTCCCCMRCAGTGCACGGATCCATTCTGGGCACTCGGGAAAAACARTCKGCAAGAACATTYTTYTTGCCKGGAATATATTCCCAGTTAATATCGAAGCCTTCCAGGCTTAGCTTCCACCTGAGAACCCGGGACTGGGACAACGTCCTGAATATAAGGTTCTTATGATCAGTGTAGATGTAGATTTTGCCCCCGTAGAGCATATTGTGATACTCTTTGAGGCACAGGATGATAGCTAAGAGCTCCTTTTCCATTGTGGTGTAGTTCATTTGCGTTTTGTTGAGCTTTTTTGACCAATATGCAATTGGTTTTTCCTTTTGTAAGATTGCTGCTCCAAGCTGGTAATCAGAAGCGTCGGTGTAAATGTGAAAGGGCTGATTGAGATTGGCAAAGGTCTTGATTGCATCATGTGCAAGAAGGGCCTTCATTTCTTGAAAGGCTTGATTACAAGCAGAGGTCCACACATAAGGTCCTGAGCCAGTGAGAGCAGTTAGTGGGGCCAATACATGTGATCGACGCGGCCACATGGATTTGTAGTAGTTCACTGGACCCAAGAAAGAGCGGACCTGTGTTTGGTTTT